TATCCAATCAGCTTTGGAGGAGTTGATATAGGTTCGATGCTCCGCGGAAGTAAAGTCGGTTGGTTTATCGATCGAGATGACTATGGGCAGATGGTCTGATGCCAAAGTCAGCATAGGTCGCCATGATATGCTGTTTGTTATGTCTGGCGAGCTGCAGCAGCTGTCCATAATCCTGGTGGGTGCGTCGTCGTTCATTGTGCAGAATGACGAATCGTCTATCTGCTCAGCAAAATCTGTTCCCCTACGATCGTTTGACAGGCTTGAGTGCCAAAGATCGTGGTGCGCATTAAAGTCACCTACTACCATTAACGGTGCACGTTGTACCCGGCACAATTCAACAATGTTGAATTGCTGTGCAACTTCGTCTCTTGGACCGCAGCTATCAGTATACCATGCCTTCCCATAAAGACGGTTATCTCCTCGATCTTGCTCTGAAGCCGGTTGCAGTTAAATTGAAGGAGCTTCATGTGGTTCGGGAGACGTGTGGTGATGCGGGGTGTGTGGTCGTGTCGCCATTGGCTGTTCGCGCTGCTGAGGTGGTTGCCGCCCTGTGGTCGTGGTGGGTGGCGCCGCGGTTGAGGTTTGCGACCGTGCAGCGCAACACGGGCCCTCGAAGTTCCTCGTCCAGTCTCGCGTGATGCGCAGACCTGAACATGCCCTAAAGTGATACCAGTCAAGGCAGGTGTTGCACTTGACTGATTTCAAATTACGGAATATCCTGGTCTGACATACCGTGCTGATTGTAGGAGGAACCAAGAGTGTTTGGCGGCGGCGTGTGCGTGGTGGTGCGGTTGTGTGTGTTCTGAGGTCTGTCGCGGTTGTGGTGTGGTCTATTGTGTTATGTTGTTGTGCTGTGGTGTTTGTGTAGGACTGCTCAGGTGGACTGGGGTTAGCCGTGGAGGATGCTCTGTTTTAGCAGCAGGGGGCCACAAACAGATTTTAAATGCTCAATATGCCGAACTTCATTATCACTTGCAGCAAGAATATCCTCAATATAGACAAACACAAATTCTAAACCTGAAAATACTTCGTTAATAAAACGTTGAAATGTTTGTGCACTATTTCGTAGTCCAAAGGGCATCCGCAGGAACTCGAAACATTCCAAACGGTGTAGTAATTGTTGTTTTATGTATATATTCTTCAGCCATCAGTATTTGATGATATGCAAGAAAAAGATCAATTTTTGAAAATACATATACACTTGGTCTCTTTTTATGCGGTACATGCGTTCCTCAGAAAGCCGCATAAAAAAAAAATCCGCATAAAAAAGTTCTTTACTTTCATACAAAAGCAGGGGATGCGTTCCAGCATTTTCAAAAACCGCATAAATTCAGATACCCCATGTAAAAAATTCTAAAAAACCGCATAAAAAAATCCAGTGAGGCATTATTAAGCAAAAAATCCCTATTTATTTCTTCACTTCAACACTTATTATTCCATGTAAAACCGAACATTAATGAAATAAATAAAATTTTAACTGTATTTAAACCAAAAAAATAATAAAAGATACCTCAATAAATACATGAATTATGTAAGAATACATAAAAAAAATGAGAAAAAAAGGTTTTTTCTTAACAGCGGTCGCCCCTCGGCAGGCAAAGGCAAACCTCCGAGTGTATTTCTGCTATGAAAAACAGCTTCTAGTAAAAATACAATCGCCGTTCGGAGTCGGCGTAAAACTGTAGGTCCCTCCCCTTTGTGTGACAACATCAAGGCGCACACCACAAATTGGAGGAGAAGCTCCACTTATGTGTAAGCGCCAATCTATTATTATTATTATTATTATGTAAGAATACAAAGACAAATTATTTATCAGAAGCATTGTCTGTTACACACTGAAAAAAGTAATAAAAACTCAAAAAAGCAAAATCGCTACTGCGAAGTAATGGTTTGAAAACCCGCATAAATTCAAATCCGCATAAAAAGAGACCTAAGTGTATGTTTGTTCTTTAAATCAATAGTCAAATCATGAATGTGAGGTAACGGATAACGATCTGGAATAGTAATGCAATTAAGTCTTGTAATCTCCACAAGGTCTCCAATCATTTGGTTATTTTTTAGGAACTAAATGTAAAGGAGATGCAATGTGAGAGTGTGAAGGTCTACATATACCTATTTTAACTAAAAAATTCCGTTTTTGCTATTTTAAATTTAATTTAATTTAGAGAAAGGTATCACTCCTTTTGTTTCGATTCTGTGAACCGTTTGGTGTTGCACTGGTTTAGTGTAAACTGGTTCACAAGTAATTGAAGGAAAGTCATTAAAAGTTTATAAAATTTATTTTTAGAAATTGGTATCCTTTTTTTGAAAATATATCACGAAAACCAGATGATCCAGAAACTTTCAATTTTGTTGTTGAATCAGTAATTTCTCTATTTTTAATATCAACTAATATACCAAATTTCTCTAAAAAGTTGCGCCTATGATTGGTGTTGAAATATCCGCTAATATGAAAGGTAATTCAAAATCGCATCTTAAACCTTGATCAATTTTTAAAAGTTAACTCAGTTAAATTTCTAATGCATTGATCAAGAATATTTTTATTATTTTCTACGCTAGCTACATTAAAAGATTTAGACGATTGGGGTTTATCAAATCAAATAATTTATCTGCAAGAGAACTAATTTCTTCAGTACTTTGATTATTACAAGAATTTTTTAATTTGTATTTGTTCTGATGGTGACCGATCACCTTGTTCGGTATTTGTTCTAACCTCTTCTCTTCGCTAAGAGAAAATCTTTCACATAATACTTTCTTAATTGTTTCATATTTGTTAGGAGGCGGATTGATAACATCAATAATTTTAGAAATTGACTATTTCAAGAACGACTAAAATGTTTTGAAATTTGATATTATCATCACATATATTGTTAATTTCGAATTGTCCCATCTTCCCAAAAATAAGGCAACTTAATAGATTTTGATAAATTCGCAAGTTATTTTCATTTGGAAACCCATTAGGTTGTATACTTTGTGAAATGTTTAAGTATGGGTTTTCATGTTGATTTTCTGTTGTTGTTGTAAAGTTGCGTGTACGTATAATGGTAGACTGATAAATCTCTTCTTGTTAATAAATTTGATTGTTTAAACAAATAAACAAAGTTGAAGAGTATATTATAAAATATTCACAAAAGCTGAATGATTGAACTAAAGACTTCAGACACGAACTTAAAAAAAAAAAATAAAAACAACTACTAATTTATTCTTTTGTTACCTGTGACAGCAACACTGAAATTTCTATATGCAGGTGAGCGTACGTTGTTTAAGGTTACAATGACAACGGCGATAAAGAAAATTCAAATGGTGCAGAATGTACGTATTGAGATGTAATGCTGCACTTGTAACTGTTTCACTTGTTGCGCAATAGATGATTGTAAATATTATCGACGTTGTAATGTTCTTGCAAATTCACTGTGTATGCTAGTTTTATTACGGTGCAAGTTCAATGATAGTGGTAACAATGTTGTTTTACTTCTTCCTTCACACTTCTCCTCTTCAGTGCTGTTGTGGCACTGAAGCCAGAAAATGGGTCAAGAGAGGTTTGATAGTTGGTATGCTTCTCAGTGACGATATTTAAATATGTACATTATGTGACTGGTACTTCACAGCGGAATAAAATTTATAGTTGATAGATAGCAGCGCTTAATGTCCAAAAGGCGTAGTTTTCAAATAAATTCAGAAAAAAGTATCGCCAATAATATCGAGTTACTCCAGGCGGAATTTGTGTATCTAGTTGAGGTTATCCCAATAGTGAACTGTTCGAATGGACTTCTTGGAACGTTAAATTCAATTTCTTCAACAAAGTTTGAATTAGGTGCAAGTGTTCTGCAGCTCCTGTTAGGATCGCCAATATATCTAAATATGATATTTAATTTAAAATTGTTGTTTCTTTATTGTTTGCTCTTGTTGAAAATTAAAGTATTAATCAAAAATTGTCTTTTCCCATGGTGTAATAATAACAAGGTGTTGTCAGTAACTTAACCTCACTTTTTCGGCAGGTCTATTCCGGTCACGCATTTTAAAGTAGTAGAAAAGGTACTAATTATTTATTACTTTTAATCCGTTTGTGCATACTATTTCAAATTAAATGTAGGAAAATGTATAGTTACAAGCTTATAAGCCTGAATATATGTTTGTATCGTTAGCTCCACACAGCTTGGACATATATTGTAAGTTATGAAAAAGTAAAGGCCGTAAAATAAAGAAATTTCCTATAACACTGTATATGATTTTTTAAATAGATTAAAACACATAAATACCGATAATATAAGCGAAATCGTAATCTAACCGTGCTGCCGCTCTATTCTAGTGTATCAGTAGTCCATTTGGCTCGATATTATGACAATGCAGCAAAAGATATTTAATATAAAAAAATCGCCTTTCCATACGATTTTTGTGTACGTATTTTTCCTTTGATAACCACGATATCTTTTATATTTTATATTTTGAGGAGCAATTTTAAATATTAATATCGTTCTGAAAACACCAAGTTCTTTAAAAATCGCTATAAAACGAAATACTAAAATGGAGTATTTTAGATACTATTTCCCAACGTATAGTAGTATAAAAATTAAGATCGGAAGCACTGAAAATAAGCATGCCGATCTTGTCAAAATTACAACAAACACGTCGCTACTGACAACACCTTGTTATTATTCCACCATGGTATTTTCCAATAACAAAAAAATTTATAGAACAATAAGTTTAACTTCAAGAATTTAAAAAGTGTAAAAACATACAGTTTAATTACCCTACACACTGAACGGCTCACATATTTTATGCCGTTTAGATATGCGGCAGTAAACATACGTTTACAAATAAGAGATAACTACTGCGCTGCTACGACGGCAATTTAACTTATGTATATGTATACAATTGAAACTTTGCAACTAACAAATGATATTAATATGATGAAACATATTTTGAGCACTGGGATATGATCCTAATGATTTTTGACTATAACTGATTATTGCATCTGAACTAAATAATAATAGCAGAGACTTTTTATTAAAATAGTGATTTTGCAGGCTTCAGACTGGAATGCGTGGTGCTTTTGGCAAACCTCAGGGGACCGTTGCCCGTGTTCATATCGGACAACCCATAATGTCAGTTCGGTCAAGCGACCGGTACAAAGCTCAAGTAGTGGAAGCTCTTCGTCGCGCCAAGTTCAAATTTCCCGGACGTCAAAAGGTTAGTATTGTATTATATGTATAAAAAAGCTACGTAGGATTATGCTTAAGTATAAATTAATGCGATTTTGGCCGATTCCAACAGAGCAAGCAAGTCGTTCCTCTTCTGTGCTTACGCCAAATGAGCCAAGTCCTTCTCCGCCTGGTCTTTCCATCGCAGAGGAGGCATTCCTCTATAACCAGCATCGCACCCCGCGTTGAATACTTTCAGAACTGGAGCGTTACTTTGTATTCGTAAGACATTACCCATAGAGCTGCAAAAAAATCGATTTCTACAACATCGATCTTTTAACAAAATTTGTTGATTAACATCGATTAACATCGATTAAAATCGAATTTTCAGTAGTAACTTGTATAATCTAGCAGGTATGTTTTTCAAATCGTACGATTTGAGATCGTTGCGATTTGCAACATTTTTTTGAATGTTTGTGATGAAAGTAATGAATATTTATAATACAAACTGCTTGAAATAGAGGATTGATGTCATATCCATTGGTTTAGTGTAAATTTTTTGTTTTTTCTTAAGAAATCTCCAAAATAGGTTTTGTTAATCGCACCGATTTCAAATCGTCCGGTTTGCAGAACATACCGATAGTTTTAAATCAATAAGATTTTACATCAAAACGTTATCTTTAGTTTTTTTTTAAGAAATAGTATATATAACAAGAATATTTAGTACATATGCTGGGCTTTAATGTAGCGCGCCTATCCGAAATTATGTTTCCAGCTTTGCTGTACGTACGTTCGGATTCTGTTGAGCAAGCTGGTATGCAAAGATAGTGAACGGCACAGGTTGCTATTTCCTCCATCTCGTTCGCATGAATCTACAATATGGGCACAAAGTATTAACTAACCTGTGAGTTATAATGGATTAAGAACTTACCTTCCAATATTTCAATGGGCAGACATTTTGTTAAGAATGAGGTTTTTCCTAAAATTGCCTTATTTTGATAATAGCATTCACTTGTGGAGTGTAACTTTTTTTCGCTAAGTTTTTCCTCCATGAATTCAAAAAAGCTGGATTTTTTGGGATATTTGGGATATATTATAACGTGGTCCAAAGATATGCGAAAAAAAATATTCGGACGAATTGATAACCTTTTACCTTTTGTGAAGTCGGTTAAAAATATGGTAGCTACACCCCGCGTCATAATTAGAGTGCTCGCTATGCAAAAAATTTGTACAAGTTGGTACCAATTGTTACCAAATCGTGTTCGTTTAGCCAAAAACCCAGTAAAATTTGCAAGGAGAGAGCACAATTTTGACATTTCATTTGGAGGGGAAGTTGCAAATTCGTGCTGGGAAAATTTTTGCCAGTAAGAATTTGCAAGCAGGATTGTGGCACACGGTTGAATTTTTGTAAAAATGTTTTTATTGGTTAGGTTTTTGTTTTCTGGCCGTTTATTGTAATATTTTGATTGTTTTTTTGAGCTCTAGGCCTAGGGTAAATAAAACGATTGGATGTCTTATCTATCTTCCTTTTTGTTTATTACTGTCGATATTTCGCCTTTAATCTAAAGGCATCCTCAGGACTGCAAAAACACAATATGAATACATACACAAATAATTATTTACACAACGTACAACAAAACAACTTACAATCTTAGCTTTGCCTGGTCGACTAAACATATGCGCGAAAATGCGTTAACAAACAAACTTGGTGACAATAAGTATAAGCATGAAAATGTAAACAATTCAAAATACAGTAATCATAAACAAAAAACATACAACATACAGAAATGTTGCTATCGGACCGACGATTCGTTTTTTCCTGAACACCTGACAATAATAATGTAATGTTGGGATGATACATACATACAATTCTTCGTCTTACTGTTCATCGCTTCATGTATTGTTGTTTGTATGTTTTTTGTTTATGATTACTGTATTTTGAATTGTTTACATTTTCATGTTTATACCTATTGTCACCAAGTTTGTTTGTTAATGCATTTTCGCGCATATGTTTAGTCGACCAGGCAAGGCCAAGATTGTAAGTTATGTTTTGTTGTGCGTTGTGTAAATAATTATTAGTATATGTATTCATATTGTGTTTTTGCAGTCCTGAGGATGCCTTTAGATTAAAGGCGAAATATCGACAGTAATAAACAAAAAGGAAGTTAAGACATCCAATCGTTTTATTTACCCTAGGTCTAGAGCTCAAAAACACAATCAAAAAAAATTTTATTTATTTATTTATTTATTTACAAGAGAAACGATTATTAATAATTGTTGCACTTAGTTTGTCAAAAATTAATTTGAATCAACAAGTTGGTTAAATTGGAAATTTGATAATCTTGTTGCGATTTACTAATGAAAGAAGTATGTAAATATTTGTTTATTCAATTAATTTAATTAATTCCAAACATTTGAAAGGTACTCAGTATCGACACCACTGTCGATATAGGAAATCCGACAGTGACTTCCACAAAGAAATTGAAGCGTATGTTGAAGAAAGTCAGAATAATAAGAAATATACGTATAGGTCATGTTTTGTTTTCCACCTGAAATAATTAAAAAAATTTATTATGCTCGAAATGCAACCGTGGACGCCAGCTGGCAGTGAAGCTTACAAATGTTTGCTAATTCCTGTTCGCGCAAAACTTAGTAAGTTTCTCTCTTTGGGAGAGTAAGGTACCTTATTTTGTTACCGGCTAAATCTTACTGGCAGTTGCATAGCGAACACTCCTATTATAATCGCATCTCATATTGACAAGTTTAAACAATTTAACTTTTTGCTACTTAGTTTTAGTTATTTTCTTATACAAATATAGTTTATTCTTTAACAATGACTTACACCCCTATTCTGCAACTCTTCCGTATTCGGATTTTGCTACGAATCGTAGAAATAGTATGCTGCAATCCGAATCATATTTTCGAACTTTCGAAATTCGTAACAATGGCATGCCTAAAAACGATCGAGTAAGCTTTTTTTGTACGAAAACAATTCTGTGTCGGAGGGGAAATAAAAGATGTAAATCGATGTGTGTTTGCAAGAAATATTGGTGGTGTTCATTTAAACAGACGAATTTGCCTTTCGCATATACATATATTTTTATCCATAGCTTTATATAAACGAGCAAAAAAGAATATTTGTTGCCCCTTATCGAGAAACTTGGGTCCGGTTTAGTTAATGTACAACGATTTTCGGTTGTTGTGTCCAAACGCATAACCCGAATCCAAAAACTTTAACATACACGTGTAATCAAAGGATTCACATTTTATTTAAGATAAATTTTTCAAATTTCCTACCACTAGCTTATTAATAAACTCGGTTTGCACTATGCACTTTTTTGCAAATTTCGATGTGGGTTCTGCGCAAAAATACTGTGGACGGCGTAGCCGGAGTGATATGCACAGAAAAGAGAATTCTACTTAGTAAGGGTTATAATCCCTAAGCGCGGCCGAAGGCAGAAGCAAATGCAACAGGTGGTGGACCTAACAAAGTGCATGTTTTCAATGGCTTGGAAGAAGCTGTTATTGCATTAACTGGATTGAGAACCAGAGCCTCAGGCATAGGAGGAGGGAGTTCTGGCTTGTGGTTCAACAATTCAACCAGAAGCTGACATAGATGCGCCCATGGTTACTATGCCCGACAGCTCCGCATACCTTTGTGAATCCATTACCATAGCGCCCGCTTACTCTGCTGCTATAATTGCAAATACATCAGAATCCATAATTTTCCTCAAAATATGTAAATTTAACCAATTTTACAATACACAAGCACATGATGAGTGTTTCTTTTTTTAATTCCTTTCCACTTTGTTTTCCTTCATTCAGCTATCTTCGAAAAACAACTGATAGCTGGCAATGCTGCACATGTTTCCGCAAAGGTTGCAGCATGTGGATTTTTCGTATTTCGTAGCGTAGCTACGAATTACGAATTACGAAAATTCGGGTTCTAGAATAAGGGGGTGAATAAATCTAAGTTTCACACTCTGTGCAATATTTAAAAAAATTCAACAAACTTTCGTAAAAATATCGAGCTTTTTAATTCGATTTCTTAGGAAGATTTTCAGCATGCAGTTTTTTAGCCCACTCAATTTAAGTATAATAATGTGCAGCTTAGAAATAGCTACACCTTCAAACAAAAATAATTCCAGAAATCAACGGTAAGCCCTAGCTATTTCCAACTTGCACTTTGTTATACTAAAATTGAGTGGGCTACAAAACTGCACAGTCAAAATCTGTCTAATAAATCTAATTAAAACCCTTTACGAAAGTTTGTGGAATTTTTCAGAAATTTTGCACATAGTTTGAAACTTGCATTTATTTAAGTCTTTGTTAAAGAATAAATTATATCTTTATAAAGACCTAACTAAAATAAATAGCAAAAATCGAAGACACTGGAGGTAGCGAAGACACTAGAGGCCTTGCTACTCCCGCATTACACGAACCACCTGGCCCCGGCGATGTATCAGCATGGGTTCCGTAAAGTGCACTAAAGCGCTAAACAATCAGATAACACCTGCCCTAAACTGCAACCGCCCCTGTGAGAGAACAGTCCTAGTAGAGTTGGATCTGTCTGACACTTGCTTGCAGCGGAGCCCTCGCCATGGCACTACACGAACTGACGGACGGAGTCCAGAGGTTCACAAAGCAACCTCTGGACCCGATAGCATATCGACAGGCCTTGAATGGCATTTACTGGTAGTCCCACCCCTATTGCGAGTGTCGACTAGTAGTAGATAAACGACTATTATTCGATTATCGCTTTTCCATGGTATTGCGAATGTCGATTTCCCGTGCAATAAGCGACTGTGAAAAGTTTTTAGTTGGTTGTTGCTGGAGCGACTACAAGAACCCCGCCCAGATCGGTTAATATCTCAGTCGTTGTCGTCAAGTTCCACTAACGGCAGCCCTAAGAAGCGTACAGCCTGTTGTTGTTGTAGCGGCTACTAAGCCCCGCTCGGGTCGGTTCGTCCGTCAACGTTGTCGTCCATTTCAGCTAGGGGGAGGCCCAGGAATTGTGCGATTTCCACAGGGTCTGTCCATAGGGACAGG